TTGCTGAGATGCATACCAAACGGGGGCATTCCTTGGCAGAAGGATGGCTGCATACACCCTGTTTCTGGAAAGATCTATAGGATTCTATATGAGCTATAGTCTAAACTCCTAGAATCCCCCTTTATAAGCCCTATAAAACTCCCCTATATATCCCGTAAATAATCTCCCCTTAAGAATTTAGGCTACAGCACATATGGCCATACAAGAATGCATTGGCTACTATTCTCAATGTTAATATTATAGAAACACTCTTACTCGACCTTGGATATGGGCTCAGGACAATGGGGGCGTACTCATAGAAACAAAAAGTCAAGGCAAACGACCTGATAATTACCATGGGGTTGCCAGGCGTTGTTCTGATGAACCTACTGAAGACTCTCAATCATACTAGTGCAAGTTCTACGATCACACTGACGCGCACTACAACAGAAGAGCATCAGCCACAGCACTTGTTCGAGGTGTGGCAGAGGTAGTGAGCAGGTTTCCGATGCTTTGACTTCGTTGCTTGACTTGGCTGCTTGCGCTCGTTTCATGTCCTTTCACATCGATTGGACTTCAGCAGGCATCGATCTCAAGCTTGCCAGCACGCAAACCTCATACAGAAACAGCCTTGAATCTGTCAAGTACCCCAGTTCATCCTGTTGGCCTGCTAGTAGCAAGTAAACACAATCACGGCTTGATAAAACAACCAAAAAGGCAAGCCTGCGCAGCGGAATCTGTAGGTGCAGCTGTGAGTCCCATTCCAAACATATTGTTCATGCCCATGCCATTCATGCCGAAAGGTCCCATCCCACCTATTCCGAAGCCTTTGCCTCCTCCTCCTCCTCCTCCGCCACCGCCACCCTTGTCCTTCCCGCCACCTGAGCATGCAACAACGAAGCATGTCTGTCTGCTTGCCTCTACCTTAGATTGGGGCCCCACCCACTAACAATGACAACAGGGGACAGTGGCAAATGTATTCGGGTCCTGACATATTCCTATAGTACCACCCTTGCTAGCTGAGGGATGAGCTTATAAGCCACGTGGAAAAAATTGGAAAGTTTCTTCGAGGTATCTTGAAGGGGGACCCCATATTCCCCTCATACATCCCTGTCCCACATATTATCCCAACTAAGAGGGGACCCCCCACGACCAGAACCTGACAGCAGCCTTCAGGAACCTTGCGTAGCCGTGAGCATGGATGTGTCCTAGGCAGCAACATCAAAACTTCAACGCCCGCATGGGGTTAAGCATTCGCGGAGCAAGAATGTAGATCTTTTGAAGCAAAACACCGCAGGAAACGGCTCAGAATCAGAATCACGCGGGCAACCCTTCGAACTTTAGAGGTCAAGGGACAAGCACAATCACAGGCCATGCTCTTCTATCCGCAAACTTGTGAACTAATCCTTTTCCCCGCCTTTCTTTCCGCCTTTGCGCATCCAGGGGGGGAGCGGCTGTCCGATGCCATCTGAGCCTCCTGATCTTGGTGGTTTGTGGGCCCTGGGTGTTTAAGGGTAGTAAGGTTACATTAGAATAATTTTGGGATTCTGTAGGGAAAATGAAAAATGAAATGGCAACTATTATAGTGGTGGTTGTATAGGGTCTTCGGGTATAAGTTTTGGAGGCTTCAGTTAAATCTTGTGGGTTTTTTCAATTGCATGGATTGATTTCGGAGATCTGCAACATCTAAATCCCCTTAACTCTAGGAATCCTAGGACACTCCCTAAACCCTAAACCAAGGACTTCAGGTGGTGCAAGATTTCATCCATCAACCATACCTTACTTCTGAAGTGTTGCGCTCCGGTAGCCAAGCCAAAAAGCAAGGATCACGCCTACTTAGGGTTTAGGGCTTCAGGGGTTTAGGACTTGAGGAGTTTTTGGTTCAGGGTTGAACATACTAGCTTCGGTCATGTGGAATACCTTGTAGCCGCAAGGTCCGTTTGGCAGTTCTGCACAATACTATAGTCCTTACGTATAGGGACCCCCAATAAGGTACCCGTGACTTTGAGAAACTGCTTGGGTGCCAGATATGCACTACACACGAACTATAGTCTACACTCCTAGTATCCCCCCTAATAACCCTCATAATACTGCCCTATATAATCCCGTATATCATTCCCCTTAAAGGAGTTTAGACCCCTAAACCCTAAACCCTAAATCAAGGGGTTATGTAATCCCCTATATACGCCCCCTTACAGGAGTTTAGACTATAGCTCACATACGGAATAGCCTAGGGCCTGCTGCTTGAAGCAGCAAGTCTTGGGTTTAGGGGTTTAAGGTTTACAGGTTTAGGGCTTTAGGGTTTAGGATCTAGGTGCTAGACGGACTCTGGAGTTCGCAATGGTAAGCATGCAATGGTACAAGCAAGCGCCATGTCTCAGAAACCCCCCCAACCCCCCTGCGCCCTAAACCCTCAACCCCAAGCCCTAAACCCTAAACCCTACAACCCACGGAAACCCTAAAAGTTCAGCCAAGGGGCCACCCTTCTTCCCACCCTTCTTTCCGCCTCCCATGCCTCCCTAAGGGAGCCAGGGAGGCCTTCCCTAGCGTTTGAGCCTCATCCTTGCTGCGTGGGCTTAGGATATAGACATGGTGATCCCTTCTCCCTGGAAATGGGGTAACGGTAAATGGGATTTCATTCATGGGCTAGGTCAGGTTTAGGGCCAACTTTCTGAAAATTGGACGGCCCTTTCTTGGGATCCTAATAATGAACATCCAGGTGTTCTGGGGGGCGGGTGCAAGGTCGAGGAGCATTTTCAAGCCTGTTCTGTTGTTCCATATTCCCTATAGTAGCCCAGATTCTTTAGGGGCATCTTCAACATGTGTTCATATTCAAGGTGAAAAGAAGAGGAAGGTACCAGTAGGGAATGAATGAACCCTTTTCCCCCCAGTCCCTGCCAGATGGCTGCCAGAATTCTGGGATGGGGCTTTGGGTTCAAGGCTCTGAGGCTTGTGGTTCCATCATACAAGGGCTTCCCAAAAGTTACCTTGTTGGGTGTCCCCATAATAAGCTTAGGGCCTATATTGGGGTCCCTCTATTTAGCGAAATTACAACACCCCCTAAATTCACGCATTTCCCTACGACTCTCTCCATGCTACCTCACATTGCCCCGCCCTAGCTTCCCCTGAATTAAGGCCATTATTCAAAAACAACTCGGGCAAATTTAGGAGAACAAAAACGAATCCTTGGTTCTGATGGCCCCGCCCGGGACTGCAAACTGCCTTCTACACCCCAGACTTTACACCCTGAACATCCATCAAGCCCAACTTGCGGACGAAACGCCAGAAAAAAGGGCCCGGCAGATTTTTGCCAGCAAGTATACCCCCAAAATCCAAAACCCCTGGGCCCTCAACCCCTCAGCCCTACACCCCTCATCTGTACAGTGGTGGGATGAGATTTCCCGATGGCCATTCGGACATCTGTAGAATCAGCGGGCATCAGAGTAAGTGGAAAACGAACAAGCTGCCTTTGAAATTGCGCATGTAGAAAAGACTAAGATTCCGATCTGACTTAACTCGACTGCAAGGCACTGCACATCCCCATTAATAACCCCTAATATAGTTCAAACCTAAGATGCATTCTCTATGCCAGTTTTGTCCGTTCAGAGACGAGCACTTGCTCCTAGAGCCTAAGCTGCGGTGGAGCTAAAGGGGAAGTCTGCAATCTTCTTCCAGCTTGGTACACCTTCCCACCGCCTTTCTGCTGGTGTCTCTGTCTCCTGAGCATGGATAGCAAAAGCGTTTATCCAACCAAACTCTACACATGACTGAGATAAGTTGAAGCAGCAAATGAGGCTTCCCAGAAGTAGGGGTCCTTTTCGGAGTCTTGGGAGTACCCCTTCTAGTCTTGGGGGGTACAAACGGAGGACTACTTACTACTTGTCTGTGGAGCAGCAGAACATCTATCACTATCATCTGGATTTGGGTAGCGCAGGCTCCCCGAAAGGGGGTAAGTGCCAAAAAGTGACGTCCCTCTGTCCCAAATAGCAGGACCTTTATTGCTAGGAAATGTGCAAAATGGCACATACGCATCCGTGAACAAAAGCAACTGTTGCCTTGGAGGTTCCACAGGCTGGCGTCCTATCAGTAAACGTTCATGACTCATACCTAAACCGTAAACCCACAGTGCCAGCTGCACTGCTTGAATGATTTACTGAAGAACGAGGACTGCTGCTTAAAAATGACCATGGCACCATCATGTTCCATGGCAGGTGTACGGCAGACTTCTACGATGCTCGACTACTGGTAATACTACAGAGGCCTAAGAAATCACCAGTAGCATGTTGGTCTATTTAAGGTATCCTATGCCAAATTTCTACATGGTTTGCAGAACCATAATACTGCTTACGCCCTCGAGAAAAGTTTTGGGATCCTAAGTGGTGCAAGTTTTCCTCCATCCACCGCGGTAAGTACTTAGGCCACTAGACCCTAAACCCTATAGTCCCCCTTAAGTAGATAGAATATGGCTTCGGGTATCTTATCATAAGATCCCCTGTAAACCATAGCGAGGATTTAGGGCCTAAACCCTAACCCAAAACCAAAACCCTAAACCCGAAACCACAACTTGAGGCCGGGATTCGTACAAAGCTATGCCGCTGACTCGGAAGCTCCAGGGCTCCAGCACCCAAGCAGCCTCTTTCCTTGAATCTTGTGGAGGGTTTAGGGTTTTAGGGTTCTAGGGGTTCAGGGACGGGTTTAGGGTTTGGGGTGTAACATTTAACTTACAACTTGCAATTTGTATACGGGCTATTCTCAAAATTATGGGTTCCTGTGGATTCTAGATAATATTACGGCACCTAATATTTAGGGGGTCCCAAAACGGGACCCTAATCTTGGGAACCACTCACTCACAAGGTAGTTTCCATGAATAATGGGACCCCATTATAGACCCCCAAATACGATGGCCCTTATGATCAGGACCCCAAAATGGGTCCAAGAGCGATATTCAAATATAAACAGACACACATACACATATAGCAATGGTAACCCTAAACCCTAAACCCCTTATATATGGGTATGGTTCAGGTATGCATCAAAATCCAAAATGCTGTTGAACAACAACCCTCTTTCCGCACCCATTCTTCCGCTTGTCGGCGCTCCTTTGGGCCAAGGGCTAGCTGCTTAGGGTTACACTTAGGGTTTAGGGTTTGGGATTTTAGGGTTCAGGGTTTAGGTTTAGGTTTTAGGGTTTTAGGGTTTGGGGTTCCGAATTTGCAGGTTAGTGAAGAAAACACACCAGGATCAGAATTCGGAATCGGTGATCAAAACACTCAAAGGCAGGATAACCAAATCAAAGTGGAGGAATGTGAGGATCGCCTATGCGAGAGATGTTGACTATTTTGATCCTACTTTGATTATCTTTTGACCCTTATTACTTGGTTTCCGTTGATCCTCGTTTATTTATCCACATCCCCTAACTTGCAGGAATGTTCAATCATGCGCTCTAGTAAAGGGAGCTCCTCCATGATGCACATGAACCTTAGACACCTCTAATCTAATTGTGTTAGTGCGACGGTGTCGCAAAACACTTACCCTGCACCGTAGCCCACAAGAGACATTGTCTAAACTCCTAGTATCCCCCTGAATAACCCATATAGTAGTCCCCTATATAAACCCCTATAAGGAGTCTAGACTGTGGTTGACAAGAGAACCGAGAGCTCCTCCATGCTGTGCGGCCCATACAGCAGAGATCCATGAGGCCTCAGGATCATGACGAATGCGCTTATGACAAAGGAAGCAGTAGCAGTACTAGCAGTAGTCGTAATAGCAGGTGGTAGTAGTGGTACTAGAACAACAAGTAGTAGTAGTAGTAGTAGTAGTAGTAGTCGTAGTAGTAGTAGTAGTAGCAGCAGTAGTACTAGAACAAGTAGTAGAAGCAGTTGTAGTAGCAATCGTAGCTGCTGGTAACGTTTTAGTAGTGGTCCTCGCCGCTGCCGCCGTCGTCGGCTTAGCAGCAGCAGCAGCAGCAGCAGCAGTGTCAAGTGCACGAGCACTGCTACAACATCCATTGCCAAGCCACACCCCCAGAACGATCTGGACCCCATCAAGCACAATGAAAAAGGGCCCATGATTTGGGGGAAACTCACCGAACTCAAGCCTGAGTCAAAATGCCCAGGCCTCATGCTGGGAGCTGCGAAGGCGGCTTCCTGCCACTCCCAAATCTACAAGTCACACTATGTGGATGTTTGGGCACATGGGCTTCAGGGTTTTGATATGAGGTTCAGATAAATTTCTTGTCAGATGGGCACAAGCGTGGAATGCGGCCTCGCAAGGCAATGATGAGGGTCTGGGAGTCAACGGGTTCAAAAACAAAATCAGGCAGAACTGGCAGGAGGTTATTGCGGGCATTGCTTTCGTTGACCAGGCATAAGGCCATGTAGGCATCCACCGGAGCCGTGCATTTCCACCACTACGACACAGGCTAGTACAACCACTGCCACACGCGCTACTAACACTACTCCTCCTCCTCCTCCTCCTCTCCGCCTCCAACTGGTGGTGCTACTACTACAGCACGACCAATGACATTGCTACGTCTTCAAATGACGAGTATGACTGCTACTACTCAAGCTGGGCGCCAGGCCCTAGTTTCTGACAGAGTGCTGGGGAAACGGAAAGGACAGGAAGTCCCCAACCTGCCTGACATTTTCGTGGCGTTCCAAATTCCATATCAAATGCTGTCATACAGGGTATCCTACTAGACAGCTCGAAGGCCGCATCAAAGCAAAATCAATCGCAACTTTCACTGGCTAATGTGCCTGAGCAGCCGCATCTGTAAAAGTGCGGTGGGCTGCCAAATTGGCGGTGTTCAGTGCCGGTGAGTCTTCTGCCAACCTTTTTGATGTCAAATTTGGGGAGGCGGAGCGGATCAGGGATTGCGCGTTGTTGCGGGCAAGGTTTGGATATGGCGGACTTGTGGGGTCAAAGCTCTTGAGTTCTTCAATGCTGATTTGAACACATGTCGACACACAAGCTTTGACTCAAAAAACTGCAGCGTCGAGCCATGTGGAAAATGTTCAGAACAATTTCCTATTTGATTCTCGGTCGAATACTCACATAAACCCTGGTAAAGCCAAACTATGTAACAGGCCGATGCAGTAGGCAAGAGGAGGCTCAAGCCCTACGCTGCAAAAAGGGGTATGCAGGGATAGGGGTTATGGTTTAGAATAGTTTGGGGTTTAGCGGAGAATCAGCTGGTCCAGAAAGTTGACATTGGCTTTTATGGGATTTTGTAGGGATCGAGGACCATTGAAAATTTATGTCAAAACCTGTGCGACGGTCTGTCTTAAGCTATTAGTGTCACATTTCCCCACTGCTTTATCGTCCCTATCAAAAGGACTCCAGCAGAATCAGAATGGGGGCCCCAATCTTTGAGAAATTCCAAACCAAGCCGAGCAGCAACAGAAGGTTCTGATTCCAGGTGTCATAAACTGCGATGCTGTTGGTACCGAAGGATATGTCGAAGGGTTGCAGCGAGCCAGCCAGCCTCACAAGACTGGCCTTCAGATCCTTAGCGAGGGAGCTTTCATCTCATGCCTCTGTGTATGCTATTCTCATTGCAAACCTTGCTTCTTCCCACTAATGCACTGTCACTGCTTGATTACAAGCTTGATTGCTGCTGTTTCTTTTCCTAGTCTTCATCCAATTCTCCCGCTATCAACGACGCTATGGGATAACAATGATGGGGCTAGAACAGGAGGGTTCTGCTTATCATGGCGGTGATGAGGATGATGAGGATCATGACAATGATGATGATCATGATGCCGGTGACAACGACAATAATTATGATAATTCATTTGACGATGACGACGAGCATGCCGGGCGTGTGGTGGCGATGTCAACGTCGTTGTTATGGGTTGTTAGCTGCTCCTGCTGCTGCTGCTGCTGCTGCTGCTGCTGCTGCTGCTGCTGTGGTGCTGCTGTGCTGCTGCTGCTGCTGCTGCCGCCGCCGCTGCTGTGGCTGGGTCTGTGGCTGTGGCTGTGGCTCCTGCTGCGGCTGAGACTGTCGCTGTCGCTGTGGCTGCTGCTGCCGCTGCCGCTGCTGCTGCCGTTGCTGCCGCCCCCACCCTCGCCTCTGGGGCGGACGTTGCGCAGCAGTGGCAGGACGGCAGCGGCTCTTGCGCTTCTAACTTCTCAGCGTATCATGTGGGGTTGATTGCCGATATTTGCGTTGCTACTCTCCGACGCAGAGGGGCAGGGAGGTTGTCAGACTTGATCCCGCCCAGCAAGGTCACGTGAAAGTCAAAGCATGAGGAGTTGAACTCCTTGGCCACACGACCCACCAAGTCATCCAGCCTGTGCACGAGGTGGCTCTTACAACATCTTACAACAATCGTATAGGCGCAAACTAGCTCCCACTACGAAAAGTAGTATGCCATCCCTACACTGTTGAGCTTTCCAGCCTCCCCTGCTTTTCAACATCTGGCAACAACCAGAGAGAGTATGCAGTAGCAGCCATGGCGCACAGAGATGCTGCAGACCCTCTGAAAATCCTCCCTTTTGTCAACTGAGTAGCGTTTTGTGATATGAAGCAAGTAAGATTTTTTTGCTATATAATACTATACCCAAAAGGGGGATCGAAGCTTACCCGCAATCTTACTCTCCATTGGTGACCATAACAACCCCAGATAGTGTACTACTCAACTGGAGTCATCCATGGGCCATGGGCCGTTGACTCCACCTGTCTTCGGTTGGGAAAGCTCAAGCTGCGGGGATGCCCAAACCTCATCCCTACACTTCATATGAGGTAAAGTCTAAACTTGTTCAAGGAGGGTTTATTTAAGGGGAGTAGTATAGGGGTTAGTCTGGGGGCTACTAGGAGTTTAGACTATACAGATGCCCAGCAAACATCTCCGAATGACTTCAGGCTTTGAGCAACATCAAGCTGAGTGCATGCGAGCATTCCTCAATTCCTTGAAACCTTTTGGGGCCTGGATATGCTGACTCATTGAAGCTGTCGGGGAAAGACTCGCACACATCATCCAGGCACGCTGCTCTGCATGAGGGCATTGCTAAGAGTATCCAAACGTTCATAGTCTAATCAATTCTAATCCCCTCCCCTCTTAATAAACTCCCCAGCAAAGCCATAACACACGTTCATCCCATTCCATGTAGATATATACAATATACATGTGTGATGGTACTATGTTGGGGATTGCTTGAGCTGTGGGAAGGACACCTCTAGTTCCTGGTGTACTCACGGCCCAAGTCCTAGAGAAAAACTTGTCGATCAAGTGGGTGCTCAAGCCCATCCCGGCCCACAAGAACAAGATGTTGGTTCCCAATGACTGGGGGGGGGGGTCTCAATACAAAGCATAAGTCCCAACATACTCTGATCCTCATTTTAGGGACCCTCGAAATAGCACCTTAATGATTGGAAACACCCACATATCTCTGCATGGGGAACTAGGATGTGCTTGTACCTATTTCATCAGGACCAAGCCCCGGCATCACAAAAACACACTCGAAACTAGTCACCACAACTTAGGGATAGCCAAGCCCTGACGATCACCTCCACCCAACAAGAAATCCTGGCCCCCCGACAGTTAACATTCCCACTGAAATGCAATATCATGTGGGGGGAAATATGAACCTGGGTAGTTCCTGAAGTTCGGGTCCCATTTTGGTATTTAGAATGCTGAGCACAACCCACCAAATTGTTGGGGGTTAGGTGACCCTAAACCCTAAACCTTAAACCCTAAACCCCAAAACTTAAACCCTAAGCCCTAAACCTTAAACCCTAAACTTTAAACCCTAAACCTTAAACCCTAAGTCCTTTGACCGCAAATCTCCTTTTGTCTTTCGTGCAGCTTGCGGTCACGCGGGCCCTAGAAGTGGAGCCTCCAAGGAGCTAAGCTTTAGGGTGTTAGGGTTTAGGTTTAGGATCTGGG